TTCCAATTAAATGAAATGCAGTCGCACCAAATATCCGCTTGATGTGCATCATATGGACCAGTTAGAATCAACTGGAACCAGTTGAATCTAACTGGTTCCAGTTGAATCTAACTGGTTCCAGTTGAAGTTAACTGGAACCAGTTGGAAATTTCAACTGGTGGTAACTGGTTTTTCCTTCTGGGATTCTTTAATTAAACTAACTGAATCCTCTCTGCGGGAAACTCAATTCAATAAAACAGAATATCACTGATGCAAAATTTGGTTCTCAAAATGACAGAAAATGTCCACTCCTGATCTCATACAAACTCTTTGTTTCTTAAAAACATAATATAAAACTTACGTTCCAACTACCAAACAACAAACTTCCATTATGTCCTTCTTCACCCAGATATATTTATCATACCAGATACGCTCTAAAAATATAAGCATAATATTCCCCTAAGGCCCTGACCAGAGCACTTTTTTTTATCTTCAAAAACTATAACCAGTCTTAAGAAGGTGCATTAATATTGGAAGGGTGTTATAAACAAAACTTCAAACTTAATGGCCCGAATTCACAAAAGCAAGGTTTGAGCTCAGACCAAGGTTTGGGCTCAAACCTCCTTTTGTTTCGCCAAACCTCCCTTTGTTATTTACAAACCAACAAAAGGAGGTTTGGCGAAACAAAAGGAGGTTTGAGGTCAAACCTTGGTCTAAGCTCAAACCTTGCTTTGTGAATTCGGGCCAATAACATTCTAACCTTCAAAAACACCTTAAAGGTAAAGATCAGTTTGGAAACGCCCCCTCTCAAAAATGAAATGGAAGCTCTTATTGCCAATCATGTGAAAGATATTGTTTTGACTATACGCGATGATACGAATTTTGCCGAGAAACCGCCTACTAATTGATATATTTGGTAAATTATTATATCTATCTGGACCTGATAGATATCGCGCACGTGTCGCGTAGTCCCATATACATCTCTCTGTGAACAGTGCTTGTAACTTTACCAAGACTGGGCCAAATTTCTTATAATTTTGATGATTCCAGAACCTTGCCGTACACACCAATACTTATATGCTAGATGATAAACCTGTTCTGATCGATTCCACAACGTTTCTTTCACAATTCAATCGCATGACCATAACTGGTCTTTATCTTTAACTATCTTATGCCTGTTACGTTTGAATATAAAACATATGCCTACATCAGCTTTTCAATAAAACAAAATTAAGTTGTGACATAATAATCTTTCTCCAAAATATCGAACTGGAGTATTCTGTTGTATTGTTTGTTTATGTACATACAAAGAGCTTATTTTCAAGAGGCACTAGATCCATGTGTGTAACTTTAGAAAGAACTCTTTGTTTACCCGATTTTGTTCAGGTGTTTATGGAAAATTGTTATTAAAAGATGCATGTGTTCATAATTTCTTTCGTAATTTAGGTTAATAATTTTGTTCAAGGTAAATAGAGGAAAATGTATATCTCCATTTGCTATCAAAAGATTTTGCTCCTTTCGGAAAATAGCTCTTCAAAAGTTTTACATGTATAGATATGAAAAAACAAAGAAATGGATGAAATCAATAAAACAAAATAGATACTGAGTAGAATCAGGGAACAAACTGAAAGTTTCGTCTTATCTCCTACATGCTGCCATTTGGACAAAACCGTCTTTCTCTTGACTTTCTTCCTTTTCTCTTCCCCTTCCTTTTTTCTTCTGCCCATTTCTTCCCCTTTTTCCTTTTTCCCAGGTATATAGCAGGGGGAGTGAGCACATTTTTTTTTTTGGTCCTCGAAAATTTAAAAATTTGCACCCCCCCCCCTCCCTTGAGCGCCAGGGGGTGGCCCAACCCCCCCCCCCCAAAAAAAAATCAAAAAAAATCACGTGTTTTTACATGATTTTTTTTTTCTCAAGGGGGGGGGGGGCCGGGCCACCCGGCCCTCCCCCCTGGATCCGCCACTGGGACCCAAGTGGGTCCCACATAGGCTTGCTACCTGGGTTATTATCCTCTCTGTCTCTCATTATCTCTCTCTCCCACTCTCTTCTTCTTTTTTGCACTTTTGGGCTTAACATTTAGCTCGTTGCTTTTTAACGCTGCGGGTTTGCATTTGGCGCACTGCATTTCTAGGATGCTGTTGATTGAATAAATTGAATAAATTCATCAATTCCTGATGAAGCCGTATGAGTGAGAATTCATATACGGTTGTCTCATTTACTTCGTTTTCTATTTAGATAGCAAAATGTGTATATTGATGGTCATCGTGCGAGTAATAACAATTAACTACTCTCATCGGCTCTCATCATCAATTTTTCTCTTCATTTTTGTTTTGATGGTGAATTATTTGGGGGGGGGGGGGGGGGGGATTGTACAGGCCTCCCCCCCCCCCCACACCTGAAATATTTTTTTTTTTGGGGGGGATATATCCCCCCACCCTACGGGATCGACACCCATGACTGTGTGTGTAAGAAAAATAGTGAATTAGTTAGCGATCGAGAGAGTGAGAGACCGAAGAAGAGAGAGATCAAGAGAGTAGGTATAGAGAGAGATTTAGTAAGAAAGAGAGAGACATAGACAGAGATTGGATGAGGGAGTGAGTGACGAAGAGAGAGGGAGAGGAAGAGACAGAGAGACCGAGCGAGCTAGGGAGTAAGTGAGAACGAGAGAGCGAGAGAGAGAGAGAGGAAGAAAATGCTGACAAATCACACTATCAATTCCAAATCTTGTGCCTTTTTACTATTAAATTTTACTGTTCACAGTTTGGTAGAATTTATATACAAAAAAACATTTATGATTAAAGGAATGCCTGCATACATTTAGATCAAATTACATTTTCCCCTCAAAACTTATTGCAACTTGCACAAAATAAATGACAGCTCAGAAGTTTAAAACAGCATTTTATCAAACACCAGTTCCAGTGAAGCATCAAGGCCTATTCTTGTAGCATGCAATTTTTTAAAATTGTTGTAAAGAGCTTTTTAAGAATAGCAGATAATAGACAGAAACGGAGGGGCATGTGCTGATGATCAAGACCTAGCACTTGATAATGATCATGATGTAAAGAGCTACTTACATTTAAAGACTACCCTTTCAGAGCTGTACAACACACGAGCTCTGTATTTTGTTTAAACAAAGAATAAAATAGCATCGAGTAATATTATATTCTGAACTCTACCAAACTGTGAGGATTAAAATGTAATAGTAAAAAGGCACAAGATATAGATATGATAGTGTGATTTGTAATCAGTATCTTCCTTCCTCCATCCCTCTCTCTTACTCTCTCTCTCTCCCACTCTCTCAAATTAAAACAAAGTTATATAATAAGTGAGGTATATAACTGATGCTTTTTTATTCAATAGAAATAATGAGAAAGTTACATGCTTGCGTGCTACATACCATATCAATAACAAATGCAGTCAAAAGTGTTTCTTTTAGATGTATCTCTAATATGACTTTATTCAAGCATAAACATAAGATATTGCACATATTTCTCTTCTATAATTATTTTAAGTAGACATGCATTCTGACAATACAAACAGCATGCACATATCAGCATAGAAAAACAATTCCAACTAATATTCACATGATAACATATAACTTCATTATCAAAACGGAAAAGGTACACTGTTACCCATCAAGTTGGAATAATTATTCTTACCTTTTTTCATGAAATGGTTATGACAATATGATGATTTATTCTTGATAGATAAAGTTTATATCTTCTCAAAACTTTAGTGATAAATCTTGATTGATTAATGAAGTTCTGAGAAAATAAACCTTATCTATCAAGAATAAATCATATTTTCACAACCATTTCACAAGAAGAGGTAAGAATTGAAAGAGTAGATGTACTATGCACATATGGTCCTTTAACCATTTTGATATACAATAATTATGATTTCTCAATTAGATGGACATTAGGTCTACATACAAAACATAATTGATACATTGTTCAACGACAACACATAGACTTTTTAGGATAATTCTTGCTAACAAAATAATTGAAATGTGAATCACATTTCTACCATTTTTCAAAGGTTACTTATAAACAGTTCACAAGACTCTAAAGTAAATGCTGATTTGCATCAAGAAGGAACCAAGCTTTATAACCTAGATATTTAATTTTGTGTTACATACATCTGAACATTCAGTGCAACTTTATACACACTTGATTTTTAAAGACTGAGATGATTAAGGAAAAAAAATTCCCAAACTTTTTTCTCAATAATATTTCACAAATGAAATCTCCCTAATTCAATGTGTGTACCATTAGACCATTAAGTTCCATTGAATTAATCTGTTTACATGTCATGGTATCATTATGTAAACCTTACATAATTCTACAACTTGGTTGTTGCAAAACCAACCTAGTTAAAGTGGGGATTTAGTGAAAATGATGACCCCATCTACCCCCGGTATGTGGAGAGGGGTAGACTGTGCAACATCTCCGAGCCTGCCCACACCTACCAGACCCTTGACCCAAAAAAGATCTGGAAGCATTGACCCCCTGCTTGATGGAATGCTTGTACAAGATTGGTATCATCTTCTTAATGTAGATATACCTTTTACAGTGTTTTTATAATGAATGGCTTTATCTATAAATAAATTAGAAATATTTGGGAAATAATGCCCAGTCTTTGCTGGTTTACATTTAATTTCATATTGTGGATCGTAACTTTTTTTTCCCCCAGTTGGACAGTCCTTCTCCTTGACACACACAAAAATGTTGGTACTAGTATCACAGATACATTACAAGTGAAAGAATTGACATACAGAACTTACCCCCAAATTATGACATTTTAGTTTACCAAAGGTGGCATGATCTTAATTTTGACTGGACAGCTTATGAGCATTAATGCATTTTGAGCACATGAATTCATACACATGCACACAAAATGCATGCATACATAATGTATGCATAGAAATTGGTAAATTGGGTACTTTAAGGTACCTTCTACCTGCATAGCACCTTACATGTCAATGTCATGAAGTTTTACCCTCCCCCTTCCCCCATCACCCCCCCCCCCCCCCCCCCCATTCCCAAACAAAATCCACAAATACAGACCCATAAAGCTATAAAAACTGTTCATAATCCACATTTGATGGCTGAGTTAGATTACCGGTAAAATGCCAAGTGTTCTAAGTCGTGATGAGATGACTTTACACCCCCCCCCCCCTCCCGACAAACAAATACAGATTTATAATTATTAAATTGATTGCAATCTAAAGTTGATGGCTGAGTTAGATTAAAACGCCAAGTGTTCTGACTCGCAATGAGATGACTTTACCCCCTCCCCCCAAACAAAAGCCACAAAAACAGACCCATAAATCTATAAACACTGTTCATAATCCACATTTGATGGCCGAGTTAGATTAACACGCCAAGTGTTCTGACTCGCGATGAGATGACTTGGCTTCGTTTCTGGATATCTTGAAGCTCCTTCACCTTTCGTCCTGCTACCTCCTACAAAAGAAAATGCAGAGAAATAAATATTTACCTACAATGACAAAGAGCTGTGAATGGTACAGCTGGTGGCTCACATTAGAGAGTATTTAACACAATTATCAAAATAGTACAAGAGTATTTGTTTGTGTGCGTATACAGTGTATCAAAAGGAGTTATAAGAATATTACATACTGTGGTGGACTGACTCTTGCCGCATTATTACATCATTTTTTTTACACCAAACTTGAGTTCATCGCAGCCATAGTGGTTGAAGCAGGTCGGTTTAGGGTTACTGTTAAGGTTGGATATTATGTTGGTTCCATGGTTGCAGTTCAGGGTCCTGTTTCATCAAGCTGTTATCAGTAACAAGCTACTGAAATCCTTACACGTGATTGGCTATGAATAGATTTGTCATACATCTGTGACAATTGTTATTGATAACGAAGCTTATAAAAAGGGCCCTGAATCGAGCTAGCCTAGAGTAGAAGACGGACTGCACAGTTAGAGCCTGGTCTTACCGTTAGTTTCTTTTCGATGAGAGGTAGAAGTGTCTTGAAGAGATAATCTACGTTCTTGAGGATGAACTGCCTCTCTTCCTCGAACCTATCTGAAGTGACAGCGCCCTCTACCAGCTGGATGTGGTTATCAAAGACTTCCACAAGCACCTCTACAATGTTGGGGTATAGCTGAAATTGATGAAAATGACCACAAAAATAATCAAACATTCCATGAATAGATTTGGATTCAAACACAACCAAATCTCTAAAGAGGACCAAATATTACAACAAAACTTAGTAGAAAAGTCAAAATCTATACAGACTCTAGAGAGGCTTATACAAAAATATTTATTAGTGACAATACTATGGCAAGTCAGATGCTTGCCAGATGTAGCAGCAATGTTTGCAACATGCATTCCGACAACCGGGGTCAACAGTAGACATGAATGTTGTAAACTACTCACCAAGTCATCTACACTGGAAAAGAGATTTATAGTTACATGTATGTGTTGTTGGTGTATAGTTGTGTTGTGTGTCACACGGTAAGATAACATAAATTTACAAAATGCTTAGGGAAATAATTCAAAATATTTTGGAAAACTAAGCTGAAACTTCAAACAGTTTCAAAAATGAAATTCAGCATGATGTGCTGTATTCTTTTTTCCTAATCTCATGAACAAAATAAGCAGTACCACCAATTGACCAGTGTCTCCCAAATAAGGATACTATCAATATCAAATGGAACAAACCTCTGGTACGTAGAGTTTCAATGCGTCCTTCACGAAAGCCAGGACAACTTTGGTGAATGCAACGGTACTGTTCGCAAGACTCACAAAGCAGCTATCTGTAAACATCAAGTGAAACAGATAAGAAAGTATACATAATGCATTGAATAAAGAAAGCAGTAGAACACTCCCCAGGGAGTGGAGAATGTGCATACCTTGTGTGCGGGTAAGCCTGAATCCGATGACCGGGGTAATAATATGTTCCGCGCCTAGAAACGTAGTATTAGGCGCATTATAAATGTGAGCTATTATTATTATTATAACACTTTGAATACAACAAACATGGCATATGTGTATTCCTGATGGGCTTTCTTCCTTCTTTATATGCAGTTTATGGATGTTAAATTGTGACTTTTCTATATTTGTAGTTACATGTACCTCTACGACTTGGGCTATCATTGAGAGATCACATCACCAATGAACACTCAAAGTCCATCATCGGAGATCAATCACCACTTGCTACCAGGATTATTTGGTACAAGCCACAATATTTTGGCCATGTTAGCAGAAGATCAAGAGACAACCTTGAAAAAATTATAATTCAAGGTACCTTTGAAGGAACACATAGGAAAGAAAAACCCAAGCTAAGATGGAGTGATGGTCTTAGGGATATCACTGGCCACCCTCTCAATACACTCTACCAGATTGCAGGAGACAGATGCTGATGGAAAGGTCTCATCACATGGGTCACAAAGAGTCAACCATAACCTATAGGACCTATTAGACCATAGGGCGAGCCGATTTTAACGCTTGTCTTGTACTCCACATGTTGTGACTACCTAAAACTTATCTAAGAAATAAGCATTATATTTTTAGGAAATAAATTTGTTATTTCCCACACTGGGGATTGGGGCAGTATTAAATATTTTGATGAAAAAGGGTTAATATTATTGCAATAAAATCGTCCAATCAAATCGCGTAATTAATCCACTTACGTTGCTAAGTCTATAAACTCATCTGATTGGCCTATCAGATCGACAAAATGACAGATTATCGCTAGTCCGCCAATCAGAAAAGTTGTATTAACCGGCTTTGTATGCGAGTCACGTGTACATACAGGCGCTTTGTTTGCCGTAATCATGTCTGTCGATGCAAAATCTTATCGAAATTCGTCAAAAAATAGATGTTTTGCTCATTGCTCTAGTGTTTCCGAAGATCTCAAACCTTTCACGACCACACGGTGGGACGTATTAGTAAGCAGTGTGAATATTTGGAAAGATTTAGTGGGGTATCAGGCTGATATAGCGAGAGCCTTTTTTACGCGAAGTTGGACCTGATGCGCTGGTCGATACTGCTGTAGTAAGCTTACCAGTACTGTAGTAGGCCTACAGAATTTGGTGGATATTACCCGACGTGCTATCGCTATTTCACAGATTCATCAAACCAAGAAAGAGGGAAACTCAACAAAGACAAACAAAAAACAGACGCTGCATCATGTCACACTTTAGGTAAGCCATACATTTAACTTAACTTGTGCGAATTCTTTTCACTCAAAATTTTGTTCACAACTGTGAGTGTGAGTGTGACCATTTTTGACCCGTGACTCCGGCGTGGAGAAACCCACTCTAACACTACCAACACATCAAAATTCATCTAAAACTTCCACAGTTGTTCAAATAACGGTCATGATTTAAAAGTCATTATCTTTCTTATCTGTTTCATGTCAATTTTAAATCTTTTTTTTTAATAGTAGACTATATTTCCTAGGCCCAGGCCTAGGTTAGACCTCTACACTTTTTCACAGTCACTGGTTTGAACAAGAAGACGGTCTAGATTCTAGAGTATTTCCACGCCGGAGTTACGGGTCAAAAATGTTTACAGTTGTAAACAAGCACAGATCTAGGTCTAATATAGTCTTGCACTTAATTTGCAGCTTAAAAAAAATCGATTCTAGACCTAGGCCTATAACAAAAAGTGTTCAATAGCCTAGACTAAGTTTTCAGCTAAGTATGGGCTTGGCCATTTTTTTTTTTTTTTTTTTTTTTTTTTTGGGGGGGGCAGTTTTAACTTACGATTGATTTGTTATTAGTCTATAGCACTGAATACTTTGAACACCTTAACATTTTATTTGTGATTAAATTCAAATGGGATGTTCACATGCAAATGCATTATAATATAATGTCTTAGTTTTCTGACGGCTTTTGTCTAAAAAGCCGTCAGACAGCGAAGCTATGGCCATTTTTTTTAATTTTTTTTTTTTTTGGGGGGGGGGGGCAATTTTAACCTTCAATTTAACCTTCGATTGCTTCGTAGCATTACTTCGAACACCTTAACATATTATTTGTGCTTAAATTTAAATGGGATGTTCAAATACAAGTGATTATAATATAATGTCTTAGTTTTCTGACGGCTTTTGTCTAAAAAGCCGTCAGACAGAGAAGCTATGGCCATTTTTTTTTATTTTTTATTTTTTTTTGGGGGGGGGGCAATTTTAACCTTCAATTTAACCTTCGATTGCTTCGTAGCATTACTTCGAACACCTTAACATTTTATTTGTGCTTAAATTTAAATGGGATGTTCAAATACAAGTGATTATAATATAATGTCTTAGTTTTCTGACGGCTTTTGTCTAAAAAGCCGTCAGACAGCGAAGCTATGGCCATTTTTTTTTTTTTTTTTTTTTTTGGGGGGGGGGCAATTTTAACCTTTGATTACTTTGAATACATTACAATTTTAATTGTGCTTAAATTTAAATGGGATGTTCACATACAAATGCATTATAAAATAATGTCTTAGTGTTTAATTTCTTTCTCCTTGTGCATAACTGTCCAAAACAGCCTGTTTTTTTTAACTATACGTCAAGTACAGTTTTGAATACAGCTGATGTTTGATAAATCAATAATTCATATTGTTACTGTTATGACTATGAATTTTTATTTAACCTGCTTGCATAATTGTTCAAACATTATTTGAATTATGAAAATCACCCATCTCTCTCAATTTCATTTATTTGTACAGAATTGGAGCCTTCTACGTCAAGTGCAGGCGGTCAAGCTCCAGGTCCGTCCTCAGCCTCAGCAATAAGACGCTTACGGTCAAATTCCAGTGTTGCTGGTGCTTCAAAGCAGCCCTCTGTCTCTGCCCACATTCTACCAAAGATTTGCATCAACTGTCGACAAAATAAAACTTATAAGGACTCTGAGGGGAAGAAAAAGAAGGAACCATTAATGCTGTGTCAATAGCCAGATGGTGGAAAAGTAGCAACAGCTGCTAAAGACAAGAAGGACGTCCACATTCTTCTTCAGATCCAGGACCGGGACTGTGTAGCAATAGAGGTCAGGTATCATCGCAGTTGTTTCAGGAGCTATACTGTCTACCAATCAAGGAAAAGTGTTGAGCCCATCAAGGAGCAGAAGTATGGAAAGGCATTCCTTACATTTTGCAGTTATGTTGTAGACAAGAAGATCATACAAGAGAAGCAAATATATAGAATGACAGCACTGAGAAGATTGTTTGTAAAAGCCGTTAAAGATGTTGAGTCTAAAGATGCATCAAATTACAAGACCTACAGCCTAAAACAACGCCTGAAACGAAAGTATCCACAACTCTGCTTTCTGCAGCCTAAGAAGAGGTATGCAAGTGAAATGGTGTATGTCGAGACGTTATCAACTGAAGACCTTGTGCCAGGAGCAGTTGGTTCTGAAGGAGAAGAAACAGACACCACCACTGATACAGACGCCCTATCTATCTATCATTAATGACTCATTATCCAAACCTCATGTTCCACTTGAAGGTGTTCCTCAGGGATCCGTCATCGGCCCTTTATCATTTACTCTGTACACTGCACCACTTGAAGATATTATTGAAGCGCATGGTTTAGGCCGAATGATATATGCAGATGACACCCAAGTTTATGTTGTTTTGAAACGTGATTCCGACCATTCTGTTATTGATAATGATATCAAAGCTTGGTCCACTGCTAATGATTTGAAGTTAAATGAGGATAAAACTGAGGTTATACATGTAACATCTCGATTCAGAAAGTCCTCCCGTTTACCATCTGTCGAAATTGCTAATGTTCCTATACAACCTGTCAAAAGTGCACGTAACCTTGGTGTCATCTTTGAAAATGATCTTAGGATGGATGATTATATACAAAATATTTGTCGCTCAGCTTCATATGCCTTGTACAAGATAGGTCGTATTAGAAATTTTCTTGATCAAAAATCTGCCGAAACGCTTATACATGCATTTATTACGTGCCGTCTTGATCAATGCAATAGCCTTCTTTATGGCCTTCCGGACTCGCACATTGCAAAACTCCAGAGACTCCAAAACTCTGCTGCCAGGCTTGTAACACGCACGCGTTCTTGTGAACACATCACCCCAGTACTTCGTGAATTGCATTGGTTGCCGGTGACGTACCGCATTATGTATAAAATCTTAGTTTTAACTTATAAATGCATTCATGAATTGGCACCAATTTATCTGCAAGAATTAATCGAGGAATACAAACCCTCACGCAATTTACGGTCATCTTCACAATTAAACCTCGTATCTACTTCTGTGTCAACTCTCTCTTATGGTAATCGCTCCTTTCGCAAAGCTTCTGCTGAACTTTGGAACAGATTACCTTTAAATTGTCAAACCGTTAACCTATTCAAAACTAGTCTCAAGACACATTTATTCAAAATTGCGTTCGATGAATAATTAACTCTGTTCACTTTGATGTGTATTCCATATGTATTGTAATTTGTAGGTTTATTTGCATTTTTAGTTTTGTATAAGATGTAATTGTATATCAGTCTATTTTGTGTGTATAGCGCTTAGAGACTTCGGTGGTAAGCGCTTTATAAGTAACGTTTTTATTATTATTATGATTATTATTTTTATTAAATTAAATTCGATTTTCAAATATTTATTTTCTTTTGTATTTTATTGTTTTTTATTTCTTATTATATCTATTGTTTTATTTCCAATGTATTCTTTTGTTCTGGAACACATCAAGTTACTTTGAGAAACATATAAAAGCAATTTGATATCAATTCATAGTATTCACATTTCTGCTTGTACATGAATATATGCAATTATAGCATATTTTTCATGACATGCGCATACTAATTTTTATGTAACACCTTGCAGGTATATCCGATTTCGACAAAAATGGTATCAAAATGTGCGTAAGACTTGAGGGAAAAAAAGTCATGAAACGACAATTCAAAATTCCAAGCGGTTGCGGCGCAATCTCCGAAAATGTCGAGGGGGGCCTCCAGCAGCCCCCCCCCCCCCCCCCTCCCGTACAGTAAGGGTTAAGTGAAATGAATGCTGTATGTATTGTTCATCAAACTAAAGAAGCAGCACAAAGCAAAGTAGTTTGTTTTTTACTGTAATATTTATTGTTTGTAAATGAACTTCCTCATTCAGAATAATTGTTAAATTATTACAGGCTTTGTTGCAGAAAAATGTCAAACTTAGGTATTTTGGCTTAAAATGTCATTTTCATGCAAATTTCCTGAACTATACAGTGTTTTGTGAAATATTACATCTTCCCTATAGATATTTTGTACAATAAATATGAAGTTAGACCACCACAGCGGTATCACATTCACTGATTAAAACCAATTACCACCTGTATTAGTGAAAATCACTTGCACCGGATGCAGTCCTTTTATGAAGGAATGCTTGGTTTTAGATCTTTTGTTTTGGCCGCCATTTTTTTCGGAAGTGCTCCACTTCTGGACGTGGGAACTATCAGAATATTGATAAGGAACACAATACCCACATTTTAAGCCATAGTTTAGGTAGTCACAAGGAGGAGACTACAAAAATCATTTTAGGAAGCTCTTTTGACCCCATGCCCTATAGTCTATATAGGATAACGACGATGACTATGACTTATAAAATATGATTATTTACTGCCAGTTTTCTGCAAAATACACTTGCTGGATTTGACCGAATATAGGAAGAAGAAAGCAGTTCTTACCATAGACTAGTTGGTTGAATCTGTCAAAGCCAAGCTGCTGCATGTCCCTGACCAGATTGTTTGCTGCATTAGGGTTCTTGAGATTCAAGGGGTACCAGCGCTCCTCCTGAAAGATAAAGGCAATCACACTTCATGATAATAGTGGCCATGTCCAACACCTTTACCACATTTTAACATGATTCCAGGTACACATGCTGAGTCTATTGATCTATTGATCTATTCAGAAAGTAATAGTTACTCATAAATCATATGGTAGGAAGAAGTTATTTCTCAGCTTCTAGCACCATAAATTGCCAAATCAAGGTTAATGATATTATACCATGTTCATGGTGTACATGCTGTTTAATCCTTTATCAAAAATGTCTTGCTCATGGATTGGTTAGAAGCAATTTCCAGCCTGGGCTAACAACACTCTAGTAGAAAGGAAACATTAAAACTTTTTTCATTTCACTGGGTCCTCTGGGCCCTCCATCTTTCAGAATGATGTAGATTTTCTTATTATTTATTTTATTATTAATATTTTCTTTAAATTTGTATTTCAAATTTTTCAAGATTATAATGCTTGATTTCTGATATCATTATCTATTTATATATTTGTAATCATTGTTAGTATTATCATTTGTGTGTGTGTGTGGGGGGGGGGGGGAGAGTTGCAAAACAATACTATTGCGATGTAGAGTCACACAAAGACATGAATACTAGTATGATTATTATGATTATTATCACAATCCTCTGACACTTTTACAGTAGTAATGCAAGCTTTGCCACATACCACATTCCTATGTCTGGAGGCCTCAATGAACTGCTCCTTGTTATAGAGCAGTACCTCCCTGATGCCTTTCAGCGTTAATCCATTAAGAGCGAAGAGGAGGTCCAGTCCTATGGTTGAGAGGAGAGCGCATGACGTCCGAGCGATGCAGACACACTCAGCAACAGTGACCAAGGCAGTCTGCTTAGCAAGGGCTTGACGAGAGAAGAGATTCACAAAGGTACGAAGCTCTGCCTTCGCCCACACTACAAAAGCTGAAAGAGAAAGTAAATGTAAGATTTAAGAAAAGAGATCTACGAAGCTACACAGTTCTCCCTTCACCCATACCACATAATGGCACAAATGCTGAAAGATAAAGGTACAATTTGATGATAACCTTGAACAAAGTTGCTCTCCAATTGTCTCTTGAGACAGACAGATGCAAACAATAGTTAGCCCTTCCTCTAAATCTATGAACCATTCAAGACTCTGATTCTGAGTGTGTCTATACAGTAGGTTTGCGGGTGCAACATGTGAGAGAGAGAGAGAGAGAGGGTTGAGGAGTCCTGAAAAGGACTCTGACTCTGTAATCTTTCTTGGGGGTGTGAAGTCCTGAAAAGGACTGTTGTTATCTTTCTTAGCATATAGTTCTAAGGAGAACTATAGCGCTTGGAGAGGATAAGTGGCTCGAACAGGTTGACTATCCGTCGTCCGTTTCTTTGTTTTGTTTTTGTTCTTGTTTGCTGTCAGCAAATTCTACACAAAAACTAAAAGAATCATGCTTTATACTTTCCTGGTTTATAGATACATCTTCAAATCTTTGGGCAATGCAGCAACATAAATAAGTGCTACTGATACTGATAGCATGATACTTCCCCTACACCCCCCCCCCCCCCCAAAAAAAAAAGAAGAAGTAGAAGGAAGGAAAACAATAATTTTATTGCCATAAAAGACAGGAATTTCAGCTTGATTCTTTCAATCATATTCTTTCAAACAAATATGAGTTGAATCTTACCTGAATAGCAGCCCTGGTTCTGTGAGAATGTAAACCTAAACTCTTTACCAGTCTCTATGATATGATTGAAGAAGACATGACAGAGTTTGGTGACGTAGAGACTTGTAGCGCCCTCTATCCTGAGCTGTCTCAGAGACTGCTTGATCGCTGCACTCCGATTCTTCAAGAACAGATCACATGCCTAACAGATCAAACAAGAAACTGGGATTACCTCTTGTGAACTTTACATAGTAATTGAAAGATGATACCTTTATACATATCTTATATAAAATATGAATGATATATGGACCATATACTGGTACATGTAGAAGTTTAGCCAATTGATGCATAATATGTATTTGCTAAAGTCTGCTAGATCTATGTATGACTTGCCTTGGAGGACTAACTTGGAAGCTTATGAAGTTCTACAGGTGCATATTTGTGTGTTTATATGCACTACCGGTAGACTATAGCTTTGTCTTTTGTAATCAGAGATGTAAGGGATATTTTGGTTCAGATTGTTCTAAAAGCATTGAATTCGGCCTAGATGTCGATTACACATATACCATAATATTTTAATTTTGACGGGCACCAAGAAAGGTGCCGCCTGGGGTCGCCATTTTGGTCAAATCCAAGATGGCCACCAGATGAGCTGGAATTTGATTGTAGTTGGGCAAGATAAATATTGTGTGAATTGGCAACAATCACTGTATCAGGTTTCATTGGTTACAAAAACTGTGGATTAGAGAGCCAAGATCATTTTAACTCCATGGACACCTTCATCTATTTGTCCATTATGGGAATGATCAATGACTGTCAAGAGAATATGACTAAAAAGACTCCCAAAATAGTGCAAGTTTTGCACGAAAGTTAAGGTTATTATTGATGATGAGAGAAAGTTGTCAGCGAAATACACGAAATTAATTTAAGAACACACTGAACAATCTGATATGATGGTAATTACAGTCTGGATCTCTATTTACCTGTGTAGCTTTACCAAGCCTTATGAGTTGTACTACAGCCCTTCTGGTGACCTGCGGTCCACCTCGGAGTGACCGATCAGGAGACACTTGAAGCTCTCTGGTCAGTGTATCGGTCAGCTGCTTCACTCGATGGTCAACTCTAGCTCTGCGGATAAGTGAAAAGTAGGATGTAGTGTCATTTAGTAGTTACAAACCAGAGTAGATTATCCTTTTTGACTGTGGGTTTCTATGAGCTTCGGAAAGTAAAGTTGAACAGCTCTTACATGAATAGTCATCAAGCATTTAAGCACTACAATACTAAACGACATTTCAGAGAGACAAATGAAGATTAAATTTATGCATTATTTAAGGATATCATGAATCACATATGCCTTTTCTTTACAGTGCGTTTATCAATGTTGGGTAAAGGGTTTACCCAATAACTTGTCCACCACCTCAAAGGATACTCGTGCCCATTTTAATAGTCTTAATATTTCATTTGAGACAAGACTTCAAGAACAAATTTCCTTTTGTCAATCACTAAACAGGACATACAGATGAATGGAGACTGAACAAGCACAAGGGCAGCCACAGGTAACTATGAGTAGTCATTTTTCACATGTAATAAAGAGTTTGCTGCAGTCCCCTTTAGAAATATTGATTTGGCCAGTTGATTTGTGTTAGCGAACTGTATGACACGACTGTTGATAATGAATAATGAAATGTTATGTAATCATATACCTCATCTCCTTCAGTGATGGTCCCACAGGTACTTGTTCCAAGTATTCATTGGCTGAAAATGAAGATATGACAGGAATTGAAAAATTACAATATCATAAAAATGGGAATTAAAAAAAGTGTATTATTCAGTTCAAGTTCTACAGTGGCTCTGTATTGTATTGTTTTAGATAAAGTCTTCTGGTAGTGACAAATAATTACAACCTCTAATCTTGAATCTCAACACTGCACAAACAGTAACAGCACTAGAATGCATTTCAAGACCTATGGCTATTTAAAGATATACGGTAGTTGAGTCTAGTCGTTCAATTGTATTGTCAAAGAAACGGTGTGGAATCGATCAGAAAAGTTGATGATTTAGCATATAACTTTTGTTTACTAGATCGATGGTGCAAAATGAAAAATGCTGTAGTATTATTATTACCTCCGGGAATGAGATCAGCTGACTTTGCAAAGCTACTCTAGATAATAATTGTATCTATTAAAATGTTAAGGGTTTTATAAATCCAACGAAATGGAAGACTATAATCATACCTTTAAGAATAAGATCAACTGATTCCTCAAAGTTCCTCTGTGCAATACTCATATCTAGATCCTCAGGGAGCTCCAATATCCAATCAACTTGAAGCATACTTGTCTCCATGGAAACAGATTGAAAAAACAGGCTTTCATCCTCTACAAAGGCTGGTTCAGAAAGAATGGAGTAAAGAGGATTGTACAATCATTGTAAGTCAAGACTGTTGATCATACATGTGCAGTTTCCTGAACGTTTCTCCTCTTTCTTATTGAAGTTTTTTTTTTTTCACACTTCACTAATTTTTACCACGTGTGTAGTTGTGTACATGTAATTGCAAAATGTGTAAAAAAAAAATTGATTTTGCTATCTTGAAATCACAAAAATGCTTTGAATTCAAATTATAAAAGAAATTTACACTTTTGAGACGAAAACTGTAAACACTTAGATCTGTAACATGTGAGACTTTAGAATGACTGTGGAATTAATAAATTGCAACTATTATCAGTTTTATATAAAAGAAATCTTTATGTTCAATTTACAGATTCTAACTTCACACTTTCGCATAACTTAGAATGAACAAACTTTGCAAAATTTACATGTATATACATGTACATGTATATGGCGGTTTACAAAAATGAATATGAAGATATAGGCCTGTATTGTATGAGATGACATGAACCTTTCGGAAATCTCCAAATCCTATCTTTGTTCAGTTTGTCTGCACTCAGTATAACACATGATCAATGAATCATGTACATTCTAATCATGTAACAGAAATCATCCAATGAATGAACAATGCAAGGTATAAATATAGTAACTGATGGTAAATGGTATATCTTTGCTGAACGATGCACTGTATAAATATAGTAACTACTGGTAAATGGTATATCTTTGCTGAACAATGCACTGTATAAATATAGTAACTGGTGGTAAATGAAATATCTTTGCTGATAACATTTCAAACTTGGGTACACAGGTAAGTTTTACCCAAGATTATGATGTTTAATCTGTAATCTAATAATTCATTCATGCACTGAAATCATACAACACAAATAGAGGGAACTTCATATCCACAAAACTCTATGTCCGACAATACTTCTTTTTTCTAACAAAAATAAAACTCTATCCCATGCATATTCTGAATAGGGTAGTGGGTTACATCATGCATGTATATTCCACCCATTATCCATTTGGTACAGTTTGATACTTGTTCTAAATTCATGAGACAAACTATATACTGTTTTTAATGGAAGAAACCAATTAATCAAACCAACTCATGCCATTAACAGAAAATCAACGACATTAACAAGGGCTTGGGGATCCTTAAAAAAATAACAGAGGACAAACATATGAGAGAGCGTAGTGGTTTTCTCTCTGTAAAACGATGCAATAAACAGCTGAATGTATACAAAGTTCTGTAGCTTTGACCTGCATATTTACTATTTCAAAATAGATGTGATGATTGCTTATATGTAATAAAAGGTATAATTATGTAAATGTAAAAAAAACAGTGTATGAATGTATCAAATGTAGATGGTGAAAAAACAGTTATGAATAATGTAAAATTTCACCTTAAACTGAAGTTAAAATACGTTAACATATACAGGGGCGGCGATTTCTTTTCATGACCGGGGGACAGAATGTGAAGGAAAATCTGTATTTTGTTGGTATCATGGTGGTACCAATGGAATACAGATTTTCTACAATATTTACTTGTACATTTTGAAGGATATACATGTACAGTAACATGCGCGAGTGAGAAGCGAGAAGATTTTTGCTTTTCTATTTTAATAGTCTGAACGCTGCACTCTTGTGCCCTCCAGAGCCTCAAAGTGTGTTGCAGTCTTTAGTCACTATTTGCTATACATTTTTTTCTTCACTTTTCAAATTTTCCAGGGGGGGGGAGGGACATGACCCCCACCCCCCCCCCCCCCCCCCCACCCCTGATCGCCGCCAGTGAAACCATGAATTCCTTAAAATTGTAAATTGTAAGTTGTGGTATTTTCAAATGCGAGTGGTTTGGATGAACAGCTCAGAGAATGTCTCTACACAATGCACATATCATTCAACAAATTGATGGAAACAAAAATAAAATCATATGATGCATCATGCCGTGCAAGATGAATGAGTGAGAGACGTGCAAGAATAGTTTACCCTCTTCTTCTGTACAAGAAAACAGGAAAGAGTGCAGAAGAACATACATGTAGAAAAGAGAAAACCAAGCACAAACATGACTGTACATAAATGCTTTTCTTCCAGCTCTTCTGCTTTTCCAAGGACATACAAAGCAGTACGTAGCTGTTTTATGAACACATCAATATATTTCTTCTCAAGATAGTCAACATTAATTTTCCTCATATTCTAATTAATTTATTATATGAATTGAGAATCATTGAAACGTGCTCATACATTTTGCGGTGCATGTATTGTATAATTTTATATTTTATATGTACCGGTATGTCTATATTTTTTGTAAAATTTGGAACAAATAGAACTTGAAACTTGAACATAAAAGCATGGGATACCTATGGCTTAGGAAGAAAGATTTGTTATAGTAACAATTATACCACATAAAAAACAAGTTGATTTACATATGTGCTCATAGTGAACATCTTTTTTCTTCACAATATTAATACAAAAATAGTGCTTTCTGTGACTTGTAAATGTCATGGAAACAATAATTAAAAAAAGAAGTGCAACAGGAATAAGAAATTAACAAGAATGTTCAGAAGGCAGGGTCAAAGGCAGGGTCAAAGGCAGGGTCAAAGGCAATAGTGAGGGTAGAAATAGATTGAGTGTTAAAATCTATCCTGAAACAAATCACTTGGCATCAGAACATGATTCATACATGCATGAAATGTTCATGACAATTACATAAAATAAAACACCTCTTCACATTACAGTTCATACATATGTATTATAATTCAACTGTTGTAAGGTATTTACAACCTAATTTTGTTTTCTGTTTTCATTTACTGTATTGTGATAGTTTTCAGAAGTTCCTCATTAGAAAATGGCCCTTGAACCTCAACTTGTGAAATCAACTCTATCAATTCTCATTTTCTCAAACCCAACCAATACACTAAATCAAGTCATAATATAACAACTTTTTTATTTTCCCTTCTGGTATATTAATTCTAATTTATTCAACCCCAATCCTCTCTCTCTCCTTTTTATTGATTCTCATGTTTCTAAGCCCAACTTATAAAGAATTGAAAATAAAATAACTTACGATTCTTTCCTTCTGGTATATCAATACTCATCTGTTCAGCTAGTTCTCTTCTCTGACTGTTTGCAGCTACCTGGATCCTCTTAGCTTCTTCTAGTTTATCAAGCCATGCACGCTATAATATACAAAGGAATTGTAGCATCCTCAAGTTAGAATAAAGCCTAATATAAGTCTAACAATATGACACAACGTGCGGAGAAATGGCTGCGTTCTATGTAACATGTTTTATTTGAGTGGCACAAGTGAAGTCTCATGAAACAATATTCTTGGACTGGACATGAGTTATTCAGTCATGTGATCTTGATTACATAGTATGAATAATGATTGTGCTGGATGGACTAGAGATTGGATTGAATTTCAGATGTTACAGGAATCACACAAAAATACAGTCATTCCAACATAATCTTCAAGAGTATTTCTGTAGAAATTGATAACTTGTCAACTCCCTCTCCCACAAAAGGGTATTGCAAGCTAGTGATATTCAAGTTGAACCCAAGTAAGAGCAAGTCGCAATGCTAGTGCCCTTGAAGTAATCTCAATTACCTCGTCTCTTGGACTTGCAGCTATAGCCTCCTAATACTTTCTTACAAGCATATACCGTAAATCTCCGTGTATAAGGCACACTTTTTTCCGTCAGGAAAAATCAAAAGTCGGGGGGGGCGCCTAATACACAGGTACAGGATATTTTGAGTTCTCAAAATGCTACTTTTGAATGGTTTCCGAAAATCTCTGTGTCTCAACATGAATTACATAATGCAAATAAAGAATAGGATCTACTATTTAAAGTTAAACTACGTTCCTAATTTGAAGGGAAGAGAGTTTTTTTTCTTCTTTTTTTTTTCACTCTCGATAAATTATGCCCCTTCACAAAGCACTTTGCCGGCCGAAGCTCTCCCATGTCTCCAGCTCACTCACCTGTATCATGCAGCTCACTCACACGGGGGATATCGAATCACCACTCGAAAACTAGCCTGTCTAAATTTTGGTTTTTCTGTCATCTTTAGTTTTAAAAACAACATTGTTACTATTCTAATACTTAGACTTTTTGTCTGTAAAGTTGTAATAAATAACTAGATGGAATTCGACTGCGCGCAGTCGAAAATGATGCCTCCGTCATAGAGCAATTTTACAAACCAAAACAGAAGAAATTTTTCAAATTCAAGTTCAATTGTAATCCATTAACAGGTTCTCAGAATATCGTGATTACAAACAATTTCTCATATACATATATGACCCTTTGAACTTTGACCTCATGATCCTAATATCTACTCAGCTCATTGGCTCTGCAAGATATCCAGAGTTAAATAGTAATCCATCTGTCAGTTCTAATGAGAATGCGTTCACAAGCTATTTTTGCATACATAATGAGCCCATGACCTTTGACCTTATGAACCAAGAATCTACACAGTTCATTGGCTCTGCAAGATACATAAATGATCTAAGTTTGGCAGGAATCCATCAATCTGTTCTAATGATAACGCGATCACAAGCTGTTTTTGCATACATGATGGGCGCTGTGACCTTTGACCTCGTTACCCAAAATCTAATAAGTTCATCAGCTCTGCAAGTAACATACATGACCTAAGTTTGGCAGGAATCCATCAATCGGTTCTTGAGATAACGCGATCACAAGCTGTTTTTGCATACATAATGAGCCCTGTGACCTTTGACCTCGTGACCCCAAAATCTAATCAGTTCATTGGCTCTGCAAGATACATACATGACCAAAGTTTGGCAGGAATCCATCTATCGGTTCTTCAGATAACGCGATCACGAGCCGTTTTGCATACATAATGAGCCCTGTGACCTTTGACCTTTGACCTCGTGACCCCAAAATCTAATCAGTTCATCAACTCTACAAGATACATACATGACCAAAGTTTGGCAGGAATCTATCAATCGGTTCTTCAGATAACGCGATCACGAGCTGTTTTTGCATACATAATGAGCCCTGTGACCTTTGACCTTTGACCTCGTGACCCCAAAATCTAATCAGTTCATCGACTTTGCTAGATACATATATGACCAAAGTTTGGTAGGAATCCATCGATCCGTTCTTCAGATAACGTGATCACGAGAACGGGACGTACGTACAGACGTACGTACAGACGTACGGACGGACGGACGGACGGACGGACGGACGGACAACCCGAAAACATAATGCCTCCGGCTACTTCGTAACGGAGGCATAAAAAGTCCTTCCCAATTCCCTGCATCATGGCTTTGGTTTCCGAACAGGACCACACGCTTTTTTGCTGATTCAGTTGGTGTCGGCAAAAAAGCAAACCCAAAAGGAATTTTTTTTTTTTTTTTTTTTTTTTTTCAAATCTAAAAAATAGGGGTGTGCCTTATACACAGGTGCGCCTTATACACAGAGATTTACGGTACTTCCTTTCAAAGCACTAAAATAACATTGATAATGAAAATTGTATTCATGGCATTGAATTCTATGAAGAAAAGAACGATTTGAGTTAATTGTAAAAGAAGAAAGATAAACATCATGTACCTTTGATTTGGCAGTCTCAGTGCTGTACATGTGCTGGTCAGGGAATCTCAGAACTTTGAAAGCATTCTTGACAGCTGGATGAGAAAGAAAAAAAAAAGGGAGAGAGATAATTTCCACGGATGTAAAATGTTAAAAGTATGTATGTATTTTTTAATCATGGAGTCTTTATCTACATATATCTTAAAGAAAGAAGAATCAGTCGTACTACTTCATGAATGATTTTTCAGATTCCAGTTTGGCTTCTTCCAAAATGTTATGCAGACTTGTAAGTTCAAACTAATATTATGGCAGTAAGAAGGACTCCCATGTTTTTCACTAAACTTCTATACAGTAGTAAAAAATTCCTACTATGAAAGCATTGCAATTGACATAAAAGCAAACAAAAATAACAGAAGTTTTCATGAAATATTTTGTTAAGCTAAACAACATTCATGTCACATTTGAGACTGAGACTGAATATACCTACACGATGTCAGCATTATACTTACGTCCTACATCTCTGACGTTAACCACAGCAAGACTGTCCAATTCAAACAGAGCTTGATACTTGTAGCGTACTGGTCCTCGTCTGAAAATAGAAGAAAAGACAGTGCCATAGACACATTCATCATACATCAACGCTATCATTGATTAATTAATCAATCTGAGTGGAAAATGTCTATAAATACCGACAGCCTACACATACAAATACAAATCCATTGTGAATGAAGGAAGACTATACAAAGAAGGTATTGGGCGTAGCTGACAAAACAAATCTGATCGTTGATGACCAAGGCCGTATTTAATAAAACTTGGTATCAATAACAAGTTACAATAACTTTCATAAGCTACTTAAATTGTGGGAGCAGATTGACTGAGAGCAAATTTATCATAGAAATTTTGCATTTGTTATTGATAACAAGTTTTTATGAAACAGGGCACAGGAGCATGTCCCAAAAATCTTACAAAGCCCATGTCAAATGTACATTCAAATTCATTGGGTAGCAAAGGTCACTCATTCAAAAGGTTACTGCAGGCTTTGACTTTTAAACTTGGATCCAAATAAAGGATGTTTAGGGCACTAAATATATCCCACTGACCTACATAATCAAACTGACTGATGCAGGTCTGTAAAAACATAAGAGCATCATATACCTGTTTCTGATGAAGGTTGTGATGACGAGGCTATCATTGAGGAGGTATGCATGGACCCTCTGGATCTCTTGGAATGAATCGGTATCTAGCTCAATCAGATCAGCATCATAGATGATGTATCGTCCTGGTACCTCAGCTATTCTCTGTAGGGAAACAATTAAATTAAAATAATCTTCAAGAAACAGGCATCAGAATTTCTATTTGGTGTCTGCCTTTGTAAATAGATTATTTAAGTTTTCATTAGCAATGATGAACATCACTTGAATTTGAACTTGTGAACATTAAAACTGATAGGCAGCTATAAAAAGTTTTATCCAATCTGGGCCCCGTCTTATAAAGAGTTGTGATTAATCTCAAGTCCTCTGATCAATCACAAGTTTGCAGTCTCCTATCTCTTATGTACATAGTTGCGATTAATATCAACTCTTTATAAGATGGGGCCCTGGACTAATTACTGAAAAATTCAATTAGTAAAAGAGGAAAAGAATAAAACAACTGCTTTGACCACAAATTAGGGAACAAATGAAACAACATTCATGTTCATGTTAATAATGTGTTTCACCATATCCCTAGTTTCCACACAGAACTTTAATGTACCACACTACAAAGAAAACTGATTAGAACATGTCTCTCACTTTGCTCTTTTCTTCATCGCTACACCGATGTAGCTATAAAATAAAAGTTAAATGATGATTATAAGTATTGGCTTGCATGGTGATGTAGATATAATAATAATAATAATAATAATAATAATAATCTTTAATGGTCCACTCCAAATTTCATTAAACCGAAACGGAAATTTATTTTGCCCAATTGATCGTGAGCCCGGCAGCCACTGAGCAGCGCCAGATCGACGTTGCTCTATCCCTTATTCTTGAACGCCAAGCAAGGTAGCAACAACTCCCATCTTTTAACGTCTATTGGTATGATGCGGCCGGGGTTCGAACCCAGGACCTCCCGGTTGTGAGGCAGACGCTCTACTGACTGAGCCAACACTCCGGTTAGGCTTAACACATACAGTAGGCTTACGGTTACACCATGTGAGAGAGGGGGATAGTCAACGGATAGTCAACCTGTTCGAAACGTCGAGCCACTCCTACCACCCATACTCTCCAATTGGCACTATAGTTCTCCTTAGATATTAAAGCTCAAGAAAGATTAACAACAGTTTTTTTCAAGATTACCAACAGTCCTTTTCAGAACTACACACACACTCAAGAAAGAAAGATTATTGTCAGTCTTTTTCAGGACTCCCCATTCCTCCCCCCTCTCTCACATGGTGCAACCGTAAGCCTCCCGTATATAATAAAAGTTGTGTCACCTGAAGGATAAAAGAGGAGGGGAATGGAATACTTACAGAGCAGCCTTCCACTCTATCAAGCAGAGAAGCTATGGTTCTTTTATGTTCCTCTGGGGCTTGTGGAGCATTCTTATCTCTTCCTGTATCCTCTGCAATAAACAATAAAATGTCTTCATATTATATTCAGTATCAGCGTTACCTTAATTATTAAACATTCTTTATCTGATTATAAAACATGAAAAGCACAATCCTTTTAATTAAAAGCTACTTTTATCTCTGAACACTGAGGATGAATACATCTTGTCATCTTTTTTGTATTCCACTTTTTTATCACTGCTATTTTCAATTTCTATTGTTGTGGTTGAGTGAATACGTCACACCGGACTGTGGATCACGAGGTCCGCAGTTCGAGTCCTGCTGTGGCACCTTTGGCAAGACATTGATCTACATTTGCCACACTCAACCCAGGTAATGTAAATGGGTACCTGGCAGGAATCAATTCCTTGAAATGCTTGAGCTCCGTAATGGCAGCCATGCTAAAGCCAGGGTAATAATCGGGAGCCCCAGGAGTTATTATTATTATTATAATAACTTGTATGTTATCACCTTAATACTTATTCATTTGGGGTGAGTAAACAATTTTCAGTTTTGTCGATACTAAGAACGCAGTGAAACGGATTGTTTAGAAGATTACTCGGATGACTATTCTGTCCATGGAGTCTTCTTTTCTTACAGGTTAACATGCATGGAAATGTAGGAGTCTCGGCACTGAAACTGAATTTACTCCTCCCAAAGGCTTTGCTATGCCTATATTTTTGATTGACTAGTACTATTAATTTATGTTGAATGTACCTTTTCCTCCCATAGACATATCTAGTAGTTGAGTCATGATAGTCTTCTGTTCAGTCAGGATGTGACTAAGTTGATACATCTCTCCTTCCAAATCTGAACACATTGTTAGTCAAAGAAATTAGCCTCCACAAAGCTAAAACAACTAGATGGAATTTTGACTGCGCGCAGTCGAAAATGATGCCTCCGCCATAGAGCAATTTAAACAAGTTTGGAGTTTAAATCTCCAGTGGTTCTTGAGATATCATGATAACAATCTCAATGTATGGAATTTCATAAGTTGACCTCTGTGACCTGTGACCTTTGACCTACGTACTCCAAAATCTAATCAGATCGTCTTCCTATGGTGATAAATACTATTCCCGAGTCTTAAGTTTAAATCTTAAATGGTTCTTGAGATATTGTGATAACGGTCAAACGGGACGGACGTACGGACAGACGTACGGACGGACGGACAACCCGAAAACATGATGCCTCCGGCACCACCTTCGGTGGCGGAGGCATAAAAATCAACAAAACATTCATTATATATCTGATTTCTATTTATGGACAAGGACAGACCATAAAAAGAGGCTGAAAGATGTTGCCTGTTTGAGAGATAGGCCACTATGGCCATAATAAGAGGATAGTCTAATTAAAAACAAAACTGTAGGTTTCTTCCCAGAGTATGAAATAAATTCTGAGACAGATTCCACCTTTTTAGATGGAATTGCCAGTAAAGTGAATTCAAAAACATGTTTACAGTACATGCATTTCCTGATAAAAACAGTTGGGATGACATACATGTACTGTATATCACCCCTGAATCATAGAACAATTATTATCAACCTTACCAGATCTTAGATGAATCAGGAAATAAAGCCTTCCATATATTCAAACCAAATTAAGATGAAGGCACCTTCATATACTAATCCTTTAATACATTACCAAACAAGTTTTTAGGGCCTAGATTTAATTCTGTTCATCAAATTCTCTTACACAAAAGTAAAAAAATATATACATGTCAGCCTCCAATCACATCTGTGAACTAGAAGAAAGGGCATATATTGATTTCAACTACTTCAAGGATACATGAGATTTCTTTGGCCGTTTCGATGAATTGGGTGTAGTTGCGGTAGACATTTTTCTTGAGTGCGACTGCCGTGTCATCGTTGAGATTGAGAACCCTTTGTTTGTGTTCCTGAAGATCTTGATACACATCTCCACCAGATGCTATTTCCAAAACATCTGAAGAAAAAAAAGGAGATATAAAATTATTTAAACATATCAACTTATGAACTACAACGATTAGTGTAAAATGGCAGGTGTTATCTTTCTTCAACTCTTTTGTGTCAATTTTCTTATCTTTTATGGAGTATTTTTCATAAAAAAACTAAGACATTAAAGATAAACTTGAGTTCTGGTAAAAAAAAAGAAAATGAATTCTCACAGAATCTAACGAAACTCACACTGAATGTTCAAGATTACAAATAAATGTCATGTGCCAAACAATTTTGGAAGAAAATGTATACTGGCTGAGTAATGAGCATAGAAAGATAAGGAAATCAGGGTAGTACTAGCCCCGACACCATGTGTCCAATCCAATCCAAAAGATATTTGATATAGCGCCTTTTCCTTGCAGTTACAAAGCGCTGCACACATGCTCGACAATGTTTGGGCCACTTAAAAACAAAAGTTAGACACTTCTCAATATACATCTTTCTGTGTAAGTGATTGTTTCTTTACCAAGGCTCTGCCAAATTTATGATGATTTTGATGACTCCAGAACCTTGTATTACACACCATTACTTACATGCTATATGATCAACTTTTCTGATCCATTCCACACCTAATTTTCTTTCACAATGCAATCACATTACCAGAACTCAAGTTTATCTTTAAAATAAGCACTTTCTCACGTAGAGGTTTCATATTGCACACCGGCGCACAATTGTGACAATACATTTAAATTGCATACTGCGTTATATGGTGGGGTGCGGGCAGGGGTGGGGTGCAGGTGGGGGTGCGGGCGGGTGAGCAAGCGTGAAGTTAGCAACCAAAAAATATAAGAAAATTGGCACGAAACAGGTAAGAAAGATAATGACTTTGAAATCATGACCATTACTTGAAGTTGAACAATTTTTGAAGATTTAGTTGATTTTTAGTACATTATAGTAGGGTACTCTCCATTCGCGAGTCAAGGGGTCCAAAGTATGGGCGCACTTGTGAACTAGCGCTGTTTATTTGGCACCCACCCCCACCCTACGCGGAGGCTACACACAGTCTGACCACTGCTGCAGCTGCAAAGTCAGTAACTCCAGGGAGCCTGCATGCACAGTCAGTAGCCAAGCCCAGCCCCAACTTCCAAGCCCAATACAACAGTTAAATAATGACAAAAATTCACACCTCTCTGCATTTGAAATAAGATACGAATATGTACACATTCACCTCATAATTCAAAGAATCAAATTATTAATATCTGTGATGCTACTTACAATCGTCTGCGTTAAAATTGTCTTTAGACAGTTTGTTGACAATCTGTTCTGCCATTTCCTTTAAACATTAAAGGGCTTTACGGCTTTAGTTTCAGATTCCCTCTGCTAGAGTACACAATCACAACCTCTTTTCCGTGTACGAAATGGTAATTAAGGTTAGTCTTTACTCATACTTTTTGATAAATGTTAATTTTCCACATTACCCTAATTTTAGTATTTTTAGAAAAAATAGTTTCTATCTGTTGATATATATTAAATACTTTAAATACAAATCTAATTTTTTTATTTACATTTTCTTATTCATCCCAATACTTGAATATTTCTTCCCATGTCGTATTGAAATAGGCTATGAAAAAGTCGCAACCTATACTCCACAAATACTTCCTACCACATCACATTCGATGCAAGCTCCACCAGCACCTCCTCTCTCCTTTCTCGCCAAGAGCTCCCGCGCTCGCGCCCGCGCCCGTTCGATCCCTAGCTAGCTAGCTACATAGAGGCCCTATATATTTTTAGCACGCAATCCACAACAACATCATACAAAGTGTCATCATGGCCTGGTCATTCAACTAGCACAATACACTAACTTCTTTTTGGAAGAATGTGGAAAGCAAGCTAGACCTGAGTGACATAGATATAGTCAGAGCAAGCTGAGCTAGACTACTATTTATTTAGGTTTTTTGGCTGTGAACCAAAAGTAAAACAGAAGTATCCTAGCATTTGGCCTTTGTTTGGGAAGACAAGAATTTAGGCTGGCGCTGGGTGATCGTGTTTATCATTGCCTTTGTCTCTGATTGAAGTTTTGTCTGTCGAAGAACTGTCATCATCATCAAGCAATCTTGAATTTGAAAGATTCAGTCAAAAAGGTATGTTGATGAAGTTAAGGCTGTTTGTTAAGAACATCAATTGACCAGATTTTATGTTATCAATTGTAAGGAATTTTGAGATTAAAACTTGAAAGGTTGTAGGCTAAGCGTTAATTAATGTTAATTGCATTAAATTGATTGTTTCTTGGGTGCTTGTTTATCATTTACATGTAGTCCATGTTCATTTTATTTTTGCCTTTTTTCTTCTCCCTTTTTCCCCTTTTTTTTCTTCTTCTTTTTTTTTTTCTTCTTTTTTTCTTTCTTCTTTTTTTCTTTCTTAACCAGGGACGATTTAGTCAAATATTAGTCGACCAATGCATAATTATTAATGTCTATAATGAGCTTATGAGTTATCCTCACTATTTCCCATAATTTATAATAATAGTCTTTAGATCTAGATGTCTATAATAGAGCCTAGAAGGTCTAGATCTATTAATAATCTTTTAAAGTCCACTCCAAATTTTATTAAGTTAAAATGGAAATTCTTTTTGCCCAATTTATCGTGAGCTTGGCAGCCACTGAGCAGCGCCAGATCGACGTTGCTCTATCCCTTATTGTTGAACGCCAAACAAGGTAGCAGCAACTCCCATCTTATAACGTCTTTTGGTATGACTCGGTGGGGTTTGAACCCACAACCTCCCGGTTGTGAGGCGGACGCCCGACTGACTGAGCCAACACTCCGGTGTAGATCTAGATCTACTGTACATTTTTAGTAGATTTTATTTATGAACTTCAAGTTTTTCTTCTTTATTGACACACCTAGGCTGTTTTTAAAGATTTCCTTTAAATTACAAATACAATAAGTTAAAATGATGATGATTTTGCAAATATTCCATGAAGATTAAAGCCATATTTTACATTCCACAAGCAGAAGGGTGTTTATATTTTTGTTTAATTTACATACAGGTATGTTCAAAACCGATTTTAAAAAAAGAGTGAGGGGGTGACTTCATGACAAGTGAGGTCATCAATTTACTTGAACAGGGTTACTAATGAAGAAGTGCTGGATTAGGCCCCCCCCCCCCCAAAAAAAAAAAAAAAAAAAAAAAAGATGTCAAGTATTGCCCTTTAGAAGTTAAGGTGCCAGAACCTGGGTCGGTCGGTTGGAAATCTTTTTTCTCCCCCTCAAAACAGCGACCATTGCCATAAAAACTAAAAACGTGCTCAAGAAGGGGAGAGATGGATGGTAACCGGGGAAGGGGAAGACCAAGAATTGGGATGGCATCAGACTTGGTACATGTAGGTGACAGGTCATTAATATGAGATAGACCCTATTTAATGATTGAATTGCAGTTTTGAAATGTTGCTGTGGAAGGAGTTAGTTGAAGGGACAGGCCCAGGGTAATCAGGGAAGGGGAAGACCAAGAATTGGGATGGCGTCAGACTAAGAAGGCGTGACAGCTAGGTCATATGATATAATAAAAAGGAAGGATAAATATAGAGAATTACATGTACATGTACATGTATGTACAAATATGTACATGTATGTAGAAACAAAACTGAAGAAGGCTCCGGTGTGTCGAACTGCCTTTGGCAGAACCCATGAGAGAGAACTTTATGATTTATCATCTGATTTTGATGAAACTTTCATTCTTTCGTTTTTTTAAGTTGTCGCTATTTATTAAATTCAACTTGCAAATGGGCTGGATTTGTTCTCTAACTGGTGTGTGGGTTAGTAAATGGCCAGTCCACAATATTGACCTACATGTAGTCTAGACAGGTTGGTTATATCTGGACAGTTTATTTAAAATGGCAATTTTAAAAAGTGTACATGCTGTATTTATTAATCTTTCAAGAATCATGACGTTACACAATAATGACATGCATAGAGGACATAGTATTATGAACTTAGGCCGTGCTACATGTAGTGCTGGGGGGAGTCTGGTCAGACTAACATTACACATGTACCTTTTCTCCATCTTTGTTATTCTTGGTGAAGTGTGACCAGATCGTTTCCACCCCCCCCCCCCCCCATTGTCATGTAAACACAGACCCATAAAGTATATACATGTACATGTAAAGTATATATAATATATAGAAAATGATTGCATGCGAAAAATTCATCACACTTTATCTTTCACATAATACAATTTGTAAACAGGAAGAGGAAATGGTAATGAGTATTTTTGGTCACCATTTCCCGTCTGTAACCCTTTTTGAATTATTCAAAGAAAACCGCATACAGTGTACAGTACACAAAAGAGGAGTTAAGAGTCCAGGGCCTTGGGGGGAATCTTTGGAGCATAACATTGCTAGTTTGTAACTAAATTAACTCTGTCCCTCATATATATGGTTTCAATGCATCCGTGTTTACACTACCTAGATGGTATGACTGTGACCAAATGGTTACAGAAAGAAAAATCAATGTTTGTGAATAATAACAAAGATACCAATTATTAAAATCAAATAATTTGCTTTATAAAAACATCATGAAAGTGTTCACAGATAGGAGTATTTGAAATGCCTCCTCCTCAGCCCAATACTAGTATAATATTCCAAATTGATGTTTATGTTTCTTGAGAATATGTGATATAAAGCTTATATCTAGAAGTATTCAAGAAAGGCCCTAACTCAACCAGTCCACCTCTCATTCTTGAGATATGAAAAACACAAAAACATCAAATCTACAAGGGGTATGATTAAGTTAGTTGTTAACTGTGCCCCCAAATTGCGAAAAATACACACCTTTTTTTACAGTAACTTTGCAAAAATGTCTTACTGGTATTTCGTTATTCTTTTTAAAATGCACTTTATTTATTGACCCTAAACATCTTCAGATGTTATCCAGCTAATACAAGTGCTCTAGTACATTTTTTCTTTTCTTTCTTTCTCTCTCTTTCTCTCTCTTTTTCTCTCTCTCTCTTTCTCTCTCTCTTGCTCTTTCTTTCTCTTATTATTTTCTTTTCTTTTCTTTCTCTCTTTTTAACAGACAGATCTGATGTAGTCTCTTCGGTGTAATTACCTGTTTACATTGAGTAAAAATTAAAAACATCATAGTCAATTCAGAATATAATGAACTTAGTTTAAATTACCCAAACATCCATGACTAAGAATTTTGTTTCTCATACATGTGGTTGATTATTATGATGCAATCAATATTTTCTTTTCTTTCTTTCTCTCTCTCTCTTTCTCTCTCTTTCTCTGTCGCATTTTTCTTTTCTATCTTAATTTCTCTCTTTTAAAAACAGATCTGGTGTAGTCTCTTTAGTAACTTCATTGAGCTACATGTAATTACATTTTTAGATGAGTAAAAAACATCATAGGTTGCGTTTATCTAGCAAATTTTTGGCTAGAATCAGGTTTCTCAAACGTCTTTCAGGCAAATTTAGAAGTAGATAAACGCAAAGCCTTTTTCAAACGTCTTTAGATATGGGCATATCTAAAGACGCAAAAAGGTGCGTTTTGAATGTGACATACAGCCAGAATCACGTTTCTGAAAGATCGATAAACGCAAAGCTGTTTTGAACCTCACATACAAATATGACCACCCAGGTGTTGTGTACAAGCATACGTGTGAATTTGACCTCCGAGAAACTGTCTGCTTCCCGGGTCAAAACAGCTGGACAGACACAAGGCCTTTATTTTGAATCGTGAAGGGTCGATAAACGCGACATCCCGCAAATCACGATCGTATAGTGGGGTACGATAGTGGGGTTCGATAGTGGGGTACGATATGTACATATCTAGTGGCAAGCCTAGATAAACGCGCTCATAGTCAATTCAGAGTATAATGAACTTTATAGTTTTTACCCAAACATCCATGACTAAGAATTTTGTTTACAAGAGATCTCTCATACATGAAGTATGGTTGATTATTATGATGCAATCATTGTCATCCCTGATGTCCAGTGGGCGTCTGCATTCCTAAGCTCTTTGTTTGGATCTTTGATTAACCACCTATGTTTATTGACAAACCATTTTGCATTTTGTTGTGAATTTGTCACTTTAAAGACACCTTGACTATTAAACTGTAACTGTATGTTGTATGCTACAGTTACTACAGCAATCTTTTTTAGCCAGAAAAGATTTAACTTTATTTTACTCATAATATAATATCTTTTGGGCTCTTAGAAGACGCTGTTTACTGTCATTTCATTTATTAGCTCTATGTTCATTATGTTTGTGTTAAGAAAAACAAATTAATGTTCCAATTGTAATAAATTTTCTCATTGTGTTTATGGTACAATTTAG